GCCCCCTGCCACCTTTCCTGTAGCTGCCCCTCCCACTCAGGTGCCCTGTACCAGATGCTCCCCCATCTCCCAGGGCTCATCTGGCCCCATGTCCTTTGTGACTGGCCCCTGCCTCCAGGCCACACACCTGTCCCCTCTTCCTGAAGGCCCTATGTCTTCATCTTCTTCACCCCAGCTGCATCCCCACAAGATTGTACTCTCCCTGACCACCCGGTGTCCCCTTTTGCCCCCTCCCACTGCGCTGGGTTTGTAGAGGACGCCCTGACAGAGGGCCTAGGGACACATCCTGGGAATATTTTCCAAAGAGAGGGGGTAAATCGTGGGCATATTTGCCCCTGAACAATTTATATCAGTGATGGAAAATGCCTGGGAGACTTTTTTAATCAGGGTTTTTATGTTTGTTCTTTTAAATGGCCCACATTTTTAGAGTGGGATTTTGTGCCAGGCATTGTGCCTTTATCTCACGTATTCCTCATAACCCAGTGAAGTCTTCATGAGACGTTACTGGGCACATAGTAGGCTGAATGAATGATGAATGAATGAATGAATTTAATCTTACTCGAAGATGCAGAACCGAGCTGAGTGGAGAACTAATCTGCTCAGGCAGCTGCACAGTGGGGACTCGAGCCCCGTTCCTCTGACTTCCCACACTTCACCCGTGTTCCAGAGGTGCCCCGTCCCCAGGCCCCACTCCGCGTCCCTCCGTTGAACTCACAGAGCAGGATGAGCGACACCACCAGGGCGATGAGAAGGAGAACACACCCGATGAGCGGCAGCCGCTTCTGGCCCTCCTGCCAGGTGAACTTGGGCAAGCTGGCACCTGGGGGCAGCAGCAGGGGAGCTGAGGTGCGGGCGTGAGGCGTGAGGAGCCCTGCCCTGCCCCGCTGAGCCCCCGGGAGCCAGTGCCCACTGCGCAGCCTCCAGTGACCCCGGCTTTGTCCCCCTGGTCTCTCAGCCCCTCCCCCATTTGCCCCAATGCCCACTGCCTTGGGCTGCATGTAACGATTCCTCCTGCCCCTACCTCCCAGGCCCCAGGGCGTCGAGGAGGAGCACAGCCCCAAGGCCAAGACTTCCCCTCCACCCACGACCGCCTCCCTGCTCCTCTTGCCTCCCCTGCAGGATGCCCCTTACCTGGGGTCTCCCCGGCAGCCCTGGTGGCTGGTGCTGATGCGGCAGGAGATGCCCGGACTGGTGTGGCCCCCACTGGTGTTGCTCTAACCAGGTGCACTCTCCTTGGAGAGGATGCAGTGGAGGCTGGCCTGGCAGGCGACGACCTGCTGGATGACGACCTGGCGGGTGATGCCGGAGCTGGGCCTGCCTGGGTTGCCGACATCCTTGCTGGGGAGGCATTCTGAAAGGGAGTAAGGGCATCCCTGAGGCTGCGTCTTGCCCACCCTCCCAGCTGTGAGCCCTGCGAGCCAGGAGAACAGCTCTGAGGAGAGTGGCTGGGGGCACAGAGCCGAGGGACAGGACAGGAGTGTCCAAGGATGGAATGAAGCTCAAAGAGCCTGTTGTCCCCAGCTCCCTATGGTCTCTCCCTGTCACAGGGGCCTGCAGAGGTGGGCAGGGGGCAGTGGCCATCTACCTGGGGCTTGGGGGCACCTGCTTTGGCTACACAGGTCTAGGGACCCTCAAAGAAGAGGCGCCTGGGCTGGTTCCTCACTCTGAAGGTGGCTCAGAGACGTGGGTCCCTGTGGGAGACGGGACCGGCCTTTCTGCTCTCTTCACTTCTGTTCCCCACATCCTGCCCTTTCTTTTGTGTGTGTTTGAGCTTGTAAAACACTGGTCTTACTATGAGCTGTCATCAAAAAGTGTGAAAAGCAGAGCTTCAGAAAATCCCTGACCTGCCCTGTACCCCGACGTGTCTCAGTAACCCCGGAATTAACACAAGCACGCACACACACATGCACACACACACTCATGCACACACACGGCTCACACCAGTACCCAGGGACATGGGCAAGGCAGGAGCAGGAGAAGGTCGGCGGAGCTGACCTCACCACCCTCAGACCAGATCCCTAACCTCGCCCAGCTGCAGAATGTGCTCATTTATGTTTAGTGCTTTAGGGAACGAGCACTTTGTGTGCATTTACTCAGTAACCGTCCGAACAGCCTGTGAGATGGGAATTCTCATTACCCCACTGTGCCGAGGCAGAGAGGCTCCGCAGCTGGGTCAGCTGCAGAGCCCAGGGGTGAGCCTGAAATCAGGTCCTGGACGCCACGCTCTGCCCACCGGGCTCGCAGCAGCTGGCCGCAGCAGGCAGCCAGTGAGTGCCAGCCCTGCTGCCACCTAGAGACCCGAGCCTTTGGGTAGCCTAAGCTGGAAGAGGGAGCCAGGGCAGCCAGGGTGGAGAAGGGCCTGAGCAGCCTCTGCTGGTCTGCAGGACCCAGTCCCCATCTCCAGTCTAGGCATCTTCTCACCCTCTGTGGCCCCTTATAGAGATCTCTTCAGCCTCCCTCACACCATCTCTGCCCCTTAAGTCCCCTCTAGAAGTCCCCGGAGCAGCTGGGGAAGCTGGGAACTGACCCGCACTGTAATTTCTGCTGAGCACTGCCCGGCTGCTCAGAGGGCAGGTCTCCCAGGGGCGGCAGGGACGGTGGGGAGGCACAGCTCCGCTCAGGACCCCGCGCTGGGCTCAGTCTGCAGGGGTGTGCGGAGGGCCCTGGAGCTGGGCCCTGGCGCCTGTCTCCCTCCCTTACCTTCCACTGTGACCATATCTACCGAAAAGCGTTTGGGCACGGTCACTAAGCAGGCCAGCTAATAAAATGTCCTCCTCATTCAAACACCCAGCCCACGTCAGCACCATCATCCCGACCAGGCAGACACTTTTAATTTTATTTATCTTATCCTCTGTTCTCAGAGTCAGAGGTTATTGATTTGACCCTTTCCTCATTTTGCAGTCTGTGGGATGAATTTAAGGAGTCGTCTTCAATCCTGATCACAATCGGTCACCAGAGGCAGGGGCCCGGAGCAACTCTCGCAGCAGTCAGCGGTTCATTAATGGCTGTGGGTGAATACATGCGGGTCCTGGTGCCCCAGCCGCTGAGCAGGGACACTCTCACGTGTGTTTAGGAACCTGAAGGGCACCTGTGCCACTGCAGAGCCAAATGGACCAGAGCTCAGATTCCCCTCCCCTCATTCGCATTGTGCAGATTTCCAGAGAATGAAAACAGGGTAGCCCCTGGAAGCCTCTGGGGGGGACAGGATTGGGTGGGGCAGGGCGATGGTGTGGCTCTGTGGAAACGTAGAGGGCATCACTGATCAGCTGAGCACATGGAAGCCAGGCGGGCAGAGCCCAATCCTGGGCCTAGCAGTGTGACCTTGGGAAAGCCACATAACTTTCTCTTTTTCTTGACCTGGAGAATTGGAGCAATAATCCTGAGGATTCAGGGAGATCAACAGGCAAGCTCTTGCCCATGCCTGGCACACAGCAGCTGGGCAGGAAGTGGCCATTCCTCTCCCCTTTCACTGGCACATGCACCGACTGTCTGAGAGGCAACACCATGGGGCATGTCCAAAAGGCTGAAGGGCGCTGTGAACTCAGCTTAGGGAGAGGAGAAGGCGCTGGACAAAGGCCGGACTAAAATCCTTCAGCGAGAGGGATGAGCCCGGCTTCCCACCAGTGCTGGCCTGAGCCTCAGCATCTGCCCAGGACCCTGGCATTGTGGCCCTCAACTGGCCTGCCAGGCCTTTGTCCTGTTCGGTTCTCACTATAAGTCTCCCCCAGCCTCAAGGAGGCAACTCTCATCACTCAATACAATAAAATGATAACAGCTCACATAAGTGTGAGTTCACAGTACACTTCAGTGCCTCCGGCCTCATGAGGTCCTCGCTCCAGCCCTGAGACACTGGCATTTTTAGAAGCACATTTTTACAGACGAGCAAACCCAACTGAGTGTAGATTGCTCAGAATCCTATAGTCAGAAATCGGCCCACGGCATGTGCGCCCGAAACCCTGCCTTCTCCAGTCAGCAGCCAGGGCCTCCCGACACCGTCTTCCCCCTGAGACTTGCGGGCAGTTGCTCGTCTGCACTGTGCCCTGGCGGGGGGCTCGGCAGGACTGGGGGCACCACAAGGAGCCTCCAGGGGGCTGGGGGTTTCCATGGGGACCTTGGTCTTGCTGAACTTGATGGTGGGAACCAGAGTTGGGCCTGGTGGCCTGCCAGGACCAGGCAGAGCCTGGCGTGGGGGAGCAGCGGTGTCATAGCCATCAAGGACTCTCTGAGACAGCTGGGGACTCTGGGCAATGGCTTAACCTCTTCACACCTCGGTCTCCTCATCCTTACAGTGAGCCCATCAACCAGCTCCTAGTAGTGCAGGGACAGGTGGCATCCATAAAGTCAGGACTTGGTGACCATCAGCTGTGATGGCTGCTATTTGTTTGTTTGCTAAGATGCTCGGCTAGAAATGGAAAAATATGTGTTTAAATGTGACTTCACCCACTGCTAACTGGGTTACTTTGGGGCAAGTAAGCTCGCACTTCAGAGTGTCTTCACACGCTTGAGTGGAACGAGTCTGCTTCTGTCCCTCGGTAACGCAGATAAACATGAAGGAGCCTGGTCTGTAAATGTGTCACCGAAGTGAAAAAAATAGCCCATCAGGCACTTTACTTGATCCTATTTCAACCTCATAGCAGCAACTTGTGGTTGGTATTTTAAGCATCATTATATAGATTTTGAAACTGAGGTCCAAGGTGGTTAAGAACATGCCCAAATTCACTTCTCAGTTGGTGGCCAGGCTCGGGTTCTAGCCAGGCTGCCAGGAGCAAGTCGGGTCTGGGCCAACAGTCTCCAAGCTGGCCCACAGCACCTCCTTTGCTTCTTTGGGGTTCAGAGTTTGCTTCTCGCAAGCTCCTAGTTAGCGAGCTAGACAGGGATTACTATCTCCAGTTTATATAAAAGGAAACGGGTTTGGAGGAGCTGCAGAGGGTGCCTGAAGCCCCTAAACTTGTGGTGACCTTGCAGGGGCTCTGTCAGTCTTCTGATGCCCAGTCAAGCGCTCAGGCCATCTCCACCTAAGCAGGGCCCCGTAACCCTGATCGTGCCACCCCAGCATGGCAGGAACAAAGGAGCCAGCCTCAGAAGAGAGGCCTGAGAGGCAGGCAGAGGCCCAGAGGAAACAGCGTGGGAAGAGTGGGGCGGCTGAAGCTGCGAGAGGGAGTCAGACGAGAGAGGTGGCTGGTGGTGCGCAGGCACAGTGGCAAGGCTGGGGCAGCCAGAAAGGCAGGGGCCTCCTGCGCTGTTTGCTGCCTCTACCTGCAGGTGTGTCCCAGCTGCCCACCCACAGGAAGCGGGGAGGAAAGGCCCTGGGAAGGTGAGCCCTGGGGTGCAGGCAGGGCATCCCCCGGGTCCCTCTTCTCTGAGTCTGGAGACAGGTGGGACATGGAAAAGGGGACTGATCTTGAGCTCAGTACCCAGGGATCCAGAAGGAGCGGTGAGTAGCGCCCTGCCAGGCTCTTTAAAACCATTGGCTTGGAGCCTCGGTGGCCCATGATAAAGTCTTCCAGGGTTGGGAAGTGTGGGGTGTGGGGATGGAGGAGAAGCGGGGGGTGGGGTAGGAAGGGCAAGATCCCAGAAAGAGCCAGAAGTCCTGGATGCCCTGGCCCAGTAGAGCGGGCGCTGTGGTGTCAGAGCTGGTGAGAAGCAGGAAGAGAATCTGCGCCCCCAAGTCCCACCTGAGATCTGCCCATGTGGGGAAATGCAAACTCCAGCAGGGACAGCAGGATGGAAGGGCTGCCCCATGGCCAGAGGAAAACTCACTCCTGGATGTGGGCATCGGCTCCATTCCCAACTCTGAACCTCAGCTCAAACTGCTGCAGAAGCTAGGAAGGACTCGCACTTTCTGGGACTACAGAACAGGAGACTCCACAGCCATCCTTCTTCACCCATTCCACAAACTGCCACCCACCTGCTGGAAGTTCCTCCTGATGTCTAACTTACAACAGCAGTAACTCATTTCCTTGCCCCAGTTCTTGGAGTGCAGTGCAGAATTCCAGCCTCCCTCCCAGAGGCCTGACCCCACGCTTCCAGCAGATACCTTGAGCACATGGGGAAGAAGGAAGGGAGGAGACATCTTCAAAGTCCCAGATAGAAGGGACAGACCCCAGACCAGAATCAGCCCACCTCCAGGCCTTTGCCAGTGAGCAGATGACCCAGGAATGGAGCTCAAATGACCATCTCCTGGGCCAGAGCCCCAGGCCCCCCACAACCTGCCTGCAGCCCAGAGGTCCCCCTGCCTGACTGGCAGCAGGTGAACACAAGAGTCAGAGCATAGGTGACTCTGGGCCATTGCCAAGCATTCTTTCCTGGTCCTGTCTGTTCTCCCACCCTCCCGGAGTGGTCTCTGCGGTTACCCCCGGGTAACACAGTCCTGAGCCCTCACCGTGTCATGAACAGGCCTACACCCCAGGCTGTCACTGTGCTTCCACAGCTCCCGAGGTTCCCACTCAAAACTCATCCAGCCCCCTCAAGATGACCTGGGGCAGGGAGCGGCATGGCTGGAAGGCAGGGAGAGGGCTGAAGGGAGCAATTCCCAGCACTGGGGCTTTCTCCAAGAACTTGCCTGGACAAGAGTTAATAAGGATTATTATTCCCATTTTACAGACAAGGAAAGTAGAAGCCCAAACCATTTGTGTGCTTTATCCAAAGTTACTCAGGTATATCTTAGCACACAGTAGGGACGAGACCCCAGACCCCTTGTGCCTAGTTCACCGCTCTCTGTGGCACAGCTTCCAGGGGCGGCTTCTCCACCCCAATGTGAGAGGGGTATTTGTATGATTTTCTGTGGCACACTCTGCCCAGGGCCCTTACCTGGTGGAGGATGGGAGTAAGTCTACAAACCCCTTGGCCTCTCAGGCCTCCTGCGGGCCCAGCTAGCCATGCGGCGGAGGAGAGGCTGTGCTGAGGGACATCACAGCCCCTTGTGGGCTGCTTCATTGCAGCAGTTGTGTGGCCAGCCATGGGCTGAGCCCGGGGCTCCTTTGGGGACTGCCCTCCAAGCACAGGCAGTCCCCTGTGTTGTCTCTAAACAGTGTCCACCTGAGGCAGCAGCAGCTTTGACACTTCTTCATGCCCCAAGGGCAGGCCCACCAGANCCTGCGGGCCCAGCTAGCCATGCGGCGGAGGAGAGGCTGTGCTGAGGGACATCACAGCCCCTTGTGGGCTGCTTCATTGCAGCAGTTGTGTGGCCAGCCATGGGCTGAGCCCGGGGCTCCTTTGGGGACTGCTCTCCAAGCACAGGCAGTCCCGTGTTGTCTCTAAACAGTGTCCACCTGAGGCAGCAGCAGCTTCGACACTTCTTCATGCCCCGAGGGCAGGCCCACCAGGGCCCCTGCATGTCCAGCCCAAGCCCTGGGCCTCCCTTCATAAAGCCCCACCCCAGGGTAGGCTAGGCCCAGGCTGTCAGCGTTCAAAGGACCTTGAAAACTCTCTGGTCCAAGTCTTTATCCTACTGATGAGGCAGTTAAGGCCCAGAAAGGCAATGAGACATGTCTAAGGTCACATAGCCAGCTGGGGGCAGTGCCAGGACCAGGACCCTGGTCTTCTGGCTCCTGCCCCTGGGCTGCTGCAGCGCTGTGTCCTCCCGTGCCAGGTCCGTGTGCCAGGCTCTGCTAGAACAGTCCCTCCCCAGACCTAAGCATCCAAGGCAGTCTGTTCTCCCAGTGACTCTGAGTGTCATGGATGTTCAAAGGGGTGGGCACAGGCAGGACCCCAGGCTGACACCCCAGCACTCTGGGTTAGGCAGAAGGAAGTGCCCCCAAACCCACTGGAAGCACTGGGGGTACCGGGAAAGCTCAAGAGTTTGATGGGACCTGACAAGCACCCTTGCCTACTGGGAGCCTAGGGCACCTGGGCCGTGGCAGGGAAGTCCTGCACCCATTTCAGTGTGCACTGGCAGGGACTAAACTGCCTCTGTGGAGCTGGTCCAGGCTGGGGTGGGGTAGATCATGGTGTTTTTCCATTCTCACTGCTCAACTGAGGCTTCATTGTACCTGCAGGTACATGGGGCTCCTTCCTGCTCTCCCCTCCCTGAACCTAGAGAAACCCCATGAGACGGGCTCCCCTCGGAGCACAGGCAGATCCCTAGCACCTCCTCCCACCCAGCCACCAGCATGTGCACTGTTTACCCCCGAGATCTTGCTTGGCCTGGAATCAAACGGCTCCAGACTAAGAGCCAGAGCCACAAGACCTCTTCTGCTCCAGGTGTGGAAGACATAGGGGACCTAAGGGATAGTCACATCCCTCTCAGCTCCTTGATCTATATAAGAGGGGGTTGAACAATCAGCTGTTTCCCAGCAGGGTTCCACACAGCACTCGGGGTTGCGTGGAGAGGCCTGGGAGCCAGAGAGGTCCAGTTTTCAGTTGTGTACAATGGGCTCCACATAAGATTTCATTTCAAAAAAGAGCCTGCTGCTACAAAGAACCTGAAAATCGATGGCCCGGGTGAGTGCTGAAGTTACTTCTAGTCTGTATTGTCTCCTATGTGCATGAAAAACCCTTGGCGTCCAGAATCGAAACACTTCTTTATCCGTTCATTCATACGCCCATTTTTCATTCATTTATTATTTATTCATTCATCAAATAGTCTAAAGAACATTGCGTGGCCACTGTTGCCAAACAAATAACATTCCATGGTCTAGGAAGGTACTGCCTCAGTTTCTCCCCATGTGCCCTCTCCACTGATGCTGGTACATAACGGGGGGCTCCCTGGTCAGTACTGGTATTGCTTCCCAGTAATTGTCACACAAGCCACCCTCCACCTGGAGGCCTCCACCTGGCTGACAAAGACCCCGGCCCAGAATTCCCGGGCTGGCTTCCCTCGTGCCTCCGCCCGGCACCCTGCACACCTGGCTGGGCACAGTGTGCCTCCGTTGTTGCTGCACCAAGAGGAAGCTGTTTTGCCAAAACAAGACACTTAAGCTAAGTGGCTATTGTTACATCAGCCGGCCTTCCTGCCTGGCACCCAGGGCCCCGTCCACGCACTCCCACACATTCACACTCACATTTGCCAAGTCACAGAACAACGCAGGGGGCGGCAGGGCGGGATGGCGGAGGTGGACGTCCGCTCAGCACCCGCGGCAGCGTGAGGCAGAGGCCTGAGGCGGAGCTGCGTGCCTGCAGGACAAAGGGCGGGTGCCTGGGGTCCTAAAGGCGCCTACACTGTGAGAGCAGGGGGATGGCAGAGTGACCTGGGCCTGTGGGTCTGCCATCTCGGGGACCTGCCCAGCCCCCTCAGGAGGTGCCTGGTCCGGGCCATTCCTGGGACCTCCAGCCGTTCTCCAGCGCACAGCATCTGTGGGCTTGGGCTGCCTGAGAACTCATTCCACCCTAGGAAGACCCACTCGACAGAGGATTGCTGCTTTCATCGAGGGTCCACTTCCGTTTTTCGTTAATAAACACTGCACTGCTCTAAGCATGAAGAACATGACTCATTTCAAAAAACACAAAACACATACTACTTTTCAAAAACAAATGCACGTACCCAGTGTGGTGCACCTGCAGTCCCATTCTATGTATTTCAGAGGCTGGTATGGGACCACAAAGGGGCCCCCAGGGACGGTCTGTCCAACCCTCTGACTGGTAGGTGGAAAAACATAGGCATGGAGAGGAGACATTCGTCCAAATGTTTAAAGGAGACAGGGCTAGACTGTAGATGATGATGATATCAATAAATCTTGGCTCTCTATGAATCTGTCTCTGCCTCTACCTCACTCTCTGTCTCTGTCTCTACCTAATTCTCTGTCTCTGTCTCCACCTATGACAGGGACTACTCTAAAAGAGCCTTACATGTGAAACTATTCTAAGACTCCTTTAAGTAGATACTATTTTTATTCCATTTTACAGATGCCAAAGTCACAGCTGACCTGGCGCGCGGTCAGTGTTCCGTCCGCCACGTCCTGCAGCTCCTCTTTTGAATACAGGGGATCAGAGAACCTTCTCCACCCCTTCCCCAACATCCCCCTGGAGACCCACCCACTCACACAGGAGCTTGGTCTGGCTTCGGCCACTGGCGTCACCTTCCTCACAGCTTCTGGGGCTGAGGAACAGATACCCTGGTGCGTTTCCCAGTCCCTCCCAGTCGGCCCCTATTCAGTGTCATCAGTGTGAAGAAACCGGCTGGTGGCTCCCCCGGCCCCCACCTGTTCTACCTTAAACAGGGGTGTCAGAGCCTTAAACTGGGGAGCGGGGGCACTCTTCTCATCTGACATGGTTAGGCCAGCCTCCCAGAGCGGACGTGGCGCCTGCCACACCACTGGAACTTACCCACCAATGACAAGCCTGCTCTTCCCCCTGTGCCCTCCAGTGTCCTCCCATAGTGGTCCCTGACTGCACAGAGGGGCCTCCTAGGCCTATGTCCCCTTCACTCTGCCCGGTAACTGGCCCTTCTCACTCTCTGTGTTTAGGGGCCATCGCATCAGACTCCCAGCAAGCTACCGAGGAACATGACAGACTGTGGGTTCCGTCTCTCCGTGCCCCAGACAAACTCCATCTATCTGAACTTTATCCTTTTTTCTTTTTTTTTCTTTTTTCTTTTAAAAAATTTTTTTCTAATATATCTCTATTGATTTCAGAGAGAGGAAAGGAGAGGGAGAGAGAGAGATAGAAACATCAATGATGAGAGAGTCATTGATTGGCTGCAGCCTACAACCCAGGCCTGTGCCCTGACTGGGAATCGAACCCCGATCACCTGGATCCTAGGTCGACGCTCGATTGCTGAGCCACGCCCGGCTGGGCTCACCCTTTTTTCTTACCAGAGGCTCCAAAGAGCCCTGCAGGCCTAGGGCCAAATGACCTTGGTGGGATGGAGACATGAACCAAGGAGACCAGGGAAGAGGGCCGGGGAGAAAGCCTGGGAAATGAAAGTCGGGATGGAGCTGATGAATGGCGGGGGAGATGGCGGTAAAGGTTGTAGAAACACATCCGGAGTCAGAATGGACCACAAGCCAGCTGTAAGCCAGAACGTAGGCTGAGCTGATCTTTCTCAAACCCGGCCTTGCCCACTCTTCCCAGAGCCCCAGAGCCCAGTCACTTCAGTAAAGAGCAAGAGAAGGGGAGGGGCGGGAGGAAACAAGACCTAAGGAGAAGCCAGAGCTCAGGAGGAATGTCCCTCAAGAAAAGAAGGCCGAGGCACAGTTGAACAAAATCTTTGGACGCCTGCTGGTGTAGATGACTGACTGTCCCACAGAGCACCTCTAGCTGCTCTCTACCACCACCAGGAGCCGGAGAGGAAAGGAGCCTGAACTGCAGCAAGAGGAACTGTGGACGGACGGAAGGAAGCACTTCCCAAGCATGAAGATTATTAAGTCCGAAAATAAGTGACCAAGGGACACTGGAAAATCCCCTTCACTTTAAATGCTCAGAGTGGCATTTTTAGAATGGTATATGAGCCCGGTGAGGGGTGGCCAAGAAAACCTAGACGCCCCGTTAAAGTGCTAAGTTTCCGTGACTCTCAAACCAGCAAAGGTGGCAATCTAACAGCACGAATGTCCTGGCTGGGGTGCTCCCAGGCCACAGAGCGCGAGCCCAGTATTCAGCCACGCAGCCCTGAGGTGCTTCCCGAGCAGACCCCAAATCCTACCAGCCTCTCTCCTTCCTAGAAGAGTCCCTCCCTCCTAGGAACCATGATAAAAGGAGGCCAAGCGATCCTGATCCCCAGTGGCTTCAAAGCAGAAAAGGCAGATTCCATTTCCCCCAAACCTGAGGCACACCAGCGCAGTGCCCCGCCTATCTCCCAGCCCTGTCCCTGCTTCCTCAGCTCCAGGAGCTTCTGGCCGTGGCCCAGGGACTCACCGGGCGGCTGTCCCTTTCCATGGTCTCCCAGGGAATGAGGCTTCCAAACTCAGCTGATATCGATAGGAAGATCCATGTTGGCCCCTGGCTTCCCGGGCATGTGGCGAAAAGGGGGCTGGAGGGCCGAGGGCCGGCCCCCACCAGATGGGGTGGGGAAGCCGGTTGGGACTGGGACGTGTGAGGTAATCCCAAGTACAAACAACAGGGCAGAACTAGCCAGACCTGTCTCTCACCCCTCCTCCGAGGCCACCCGGTTACTCAGCGAATACCAAATGAGTGCCAGCTACCTCTGCTCCCGACACTGCCCCACAGAGCCAGTTGTGGGGAGCAGGCTCCAGAAGGCCTCCTCAAAGGGAGGCTCTGAGAGAAGGCCCAGGCCCTGGGGGACAGTTTAAGCCCAGTTGACCTGAGCCCCTAAAATAGGTGCCCCTGTCCCCAGGGGGGACGTCCAAGGCCAGGGCCAGGGCAGGGCAGTGTGAACACTCATCTCAGGGACCACATGTCCAAATCCCGTTCAGCCATGTGGACTGGCAGGTTTTTTTCCGGAACTTTATTTCTCAAAAACTCCTAACAAATTTAAATCAAATGACCTCAATTATGCACATAATGAATTGTGTCTATTGAAAACAATAAAAAGCTATGAAACAACAAACCCAAGTCAATTAAAATAAAATCTATAAATAACTGAATGGAAACCGTTCTAAGAAGTATTGGGCTGACTCATGGTCCCACACCTATGCCCCTTCCTGACTCTGAGACACAAGAAATGAAGAACTGCCATGAGAGGGGTGCTCAGCACCTCCAAACCCAGCGGAGCTGCTGCTGAGAGCTGCAGCGGGAGCAGCCGTTCGGACAGAGCATTTGGAGGTGTAAAGATCAGAGAACTGCAGCTCTTTGAAGCTCAGAGAGCACTAGCGGTCCAGTTTCCTCGTTTAACAGATGAGAAGGAACCTGCACGAGTCACGTGTAACAGACAGCAACAGACACAACAGCAAGGTGCTGGGGTCCTGTGAACGAGCTACACGCAGCCATGCCCTCCCTGCAGCATGGGCAGGGCTCCCGTAGGCCAGGCACAGCTCCGGGCCTGAGACACAGCGAGCAAAGTGGGCAAACACCCGCCCTATGTCACGGGCAGTGGGCCCACAACAACAGACGGTGGGTATGTAGGTAGACAGAGACAGACAGGTGGACAGGCAGGTAGATGGACAGACAGTACAGTGTATTAGAAAGTGAGAGGTGCTACAGAGAAGAGCAAAGCAGGGAAGGGATGGAGAGGGCTGGCCGCGGAAGGGTTACAGTTTGAAACTGGGAGGTTAGGGAAGGCCTCACTGAGGTGACATTTAAGCAAAGACTTAAAGGAAATGACTACTATTCCTCATTTACAGGTCAGAAACAAGAAATGCTTAGCTCAGCGTGGAAGCGATGGGCTCCAGCTAAGGGCATGTAGAGGGGAACTTCTCAGGGCCCAGGTGCGGACCTGGGGTCTCCAGCCTTGGGCTATTTGGAGTGTCAGTTCTCTGGCTCTCTAAGAGAGCAGAGCTCAGCCACAGGCCACATCCCCTCCCTGCTCCCTCCACAGCAGAGGGACCCTCCCTCTCATCTAGTCCTGAGACACTGCTGGAACTCTGTCCTGCGGCTCCTCTTCCCGGTCCTGGGGCAGGGGGGTGCTCAGCAGGGAGCTCTCAGGCTGTCACTGAGCCTCGTTTCCTGAGGAGCCCCACTCTGTCCTTAGGCAGGTCCCAGGCTCCCAAGGTCACTCTTAGCTTCGTTCCCTGAAGGTCCCGCTGCCTCGAGAAAGAGCTCAGGCTGGAGTTTGGGGCCAGTCAGAGGCGATGGAGCCCTGACTCTGGGATGCAAGCCCCCTTCGGGGACCTGGAGGCCCTCAGATTCACCAGCTGGAAAATGGTGACAACACATCAAACCAGAGAACAGGTCTGGCTCTGCAGGAATGTCCATTTTATTTCGTGCTCTGTTCCTTGGCTTCTATCAGAGACACAAGTTGGCCCAACCTGAGTCTTGCTGACCAGGCCATCTGACCCATTCGATACTCCCGCCGGCCACTGTTCATCTCAATTAGCAGTGTGACGGCTCAGCCCCAGACCTCACAGTGGCTGCCGACAGCACAACACAGCAAAGAACAGGCGGACGGGGCCTCCCCCTCCGAGAACACAGCCCAGCTGACCCCTGGACGATGCCCTGCACGGTCAAAACACGATTACAACTTGACTCCCCCAAAATATGTGATTAACCCATATTGTGTATGTGATATGTATTATATTCCGCATTCTTACAATGAAGTAAGCTAGAGAAAGAAACGTTTCTGAGAACATCATACGGAAAGAAAGTACACTTAACACTGCTGTGCATGTTTATTTTCAAACATCCCTGACAGCGGCCTGGTGCAGTGTAAGGCCGTGTTCTCTGGGGCTCAAGTGCATATGTGTTGGGGATGGAGGGGACATTGAGGCATGAAGTTCTTTGCTGCTCCCATTTTGAGACTGAGTGCCCAGTTCTCTGCTCTCCTGGCTGTGCCAGCTGCCTCGGCCCAGGGCGTCGGGGTGCCTTCCTGGGCCTGCAGCCTGGGACGCAGGCTCTTGGCCATTCCATTCCCACCTTGTTACTGGTGCTTCCCTTTCCTGAGTCTTTCTTCCTGAGCCTCACTCCCACACTTCTTCAGCTCCCTAGTGGAAGCCCTGAGTTCCTCCCTCCTTTGCACCCCACTTCTGGGAGCACAGCAGAAGGGGTTCCCTCCAGGCCCAAAGGGCCGGGACACAGACCACAAACTTAGTGGGCAGAGCAGGGAGGAACAGCTACCCCTGGGCCTGACCCCAGCTCCTGCCCAAGCCCAGTGCACCTCCCTCTGCCCAGACCAGCAGGGCCGCTGCTTCAGGGCCCACGCCAGGTCCTCGGCAAGGGTGCTCCTGGATGTTGTAAGAGGAGGCCAGGTAGGGGAGGTATTATTTTTTTAAGCCAGGAGAAAGCCTGTGAGCCTGGTTCCCAGCTGGCCTCTCGGGCATCCTAAGGCCGGGACCCTGCCAGTGGAGCAAACGTGGGCTCCCTCTTCCCAGCAGACACTAGGCCTTCTGGCTGGGGAATGGTGACGGGAGAGGGAGGCCAGGAGGGAAACCAGAAAATCAATGTAAGTGGGGAACTGGGGTGGGCCAGAGGACCAGCTGGTGACCCCATAGCAGGTCTGTGCCTAGGAGAGTCTTGAACCCTAAACCCAGGAGTTTGTTTCTCCCCTGTGTCTGTTCAGTCCCAGGAAGGACAAAGCTGCTCTTCTCCTATAAGTGTCACTGCTCTCTCGCCATCAAAACCCAGGACTAGATGGGATGGACCAGGTAAGCAGCCCCTGCAGAGCCCCCGCCCCTCAGCACATGCCAGCTCCACCCCACTGAACCGTGGGCAGAGAGCAGTT